TCAAACACCTAGAAAAGCTGACCGACACCATTACATTAATTGGCACTGACAAAAAGAAAAGAAAGAAAAGGGAAAAAAAGTAAAGAAGAAAATACAACCTTTTACTTTACAAATGTTGATTTCATGAAGACAAATCATACCCCCAAATGGATCGTCATAAATCATCACACCTCAATAGTTCAACAGAATCAAACCAAGAGCTTAATGAGAACAAAACCAGTACAACACAAAAACAGAATGCATTTTACTTTTTAGGGCAGGATGTAAAGTAGAAATATATTTCCTTTCTATGAGAAAACATCAACAATAAGAGTTAACCATTCATTTAAAGAATACAACAAATACAGGCAACTAGAAATGAAACAAAACAGTATAAATAGCGACTGAACTCTCAAATTAGGTATGAAGTGGTTGCCCTAGATATTTGCCAATTTGTTTTTATTTTTATTTTTTGAGGATTTTCACTTTAGGTTAATACTTAACTTGTGTGTGCTGTGTTTGTGTTATAATTCGCTTTATCGGTAACGCTATCCTGGTGCAAAGAAAATCAGCACAGCAAAGTTACTGGCCCATACATTTTAACAAACTCCGAGTTTGCTTTGCCAGTCGTGCATTCTCATGGCATGAGACTTTAACTTGCTGTTTTGTTCAACAAGATGTAAGCAGGTCTAGTCTACTTTGAACTAATGGCTTAATAGGTGTGTCTATCTACTCTCAACTCTATGTGATATATATATATAAAAAAAAAAAGCAAGAGAGGATGAAAATGTGCATATTCTTCGCATATTTTTTTATGATGAATTCCATGAATCATTTTCTCCGTAATTCTCCTTTTCTAATATAGATAGTATTTGTCTTTTTTTATTTTCTATATTTAATTTAAGATTTACAGTGTTTGGTTCGATCTCTGTGTAAGAAGAAGCAAAAAGCTTCCTTCCCTTGTATGTGAGGGTGATATGAATCGCCAATTTTAAAATAGAAAAGAAATTATGAAAATAAACCTTTCTGAAAACGTTAGACATGCAAAACAAAACCGGTATCTTTTTGTGAGTTTTTCTCCTCTTCTTTTTCTTTGTTCTTTTTGTTTTTCAGAGATAGGTTTTGTTTGCAGAAGTTATGCCGGTGCTGCAAAAGCTGTCCATGCCAGTAGCATTGAGGCTAGCTGTTATTACCAACTGCCCTGTTTTGTTCATGCATTAAGAAATATAAGTGAAAGATATCATATTTACAATACAATTCACATGTAATTACACATATACACAAGAGGCAAGAAAAATTCACATTAAAATCAGTTCAACAGTTTTTGTACTTCCTTTTCTCCTGCTTCATGGGTGGATGCAGCAAAAGACAAAAACAATGTACTCGAGTAAAAGCTATTCGATGATTTGTTGAGTTATGTTAATGGTATGAAAATGTAGAAGTGAGCATATGGGGTGATTTGTGTGAAGTGCGTAGATAATTATGTCCTCCATTGTCATCAGAACACATTAGCACCCCCCCACCCACTAAGTTGTGCAAAGCTCTTTTAAAAAAGAACAATAAACAATAACAGACAACATATTTATCTAAAACTGAAGCAAAGTGCAAGGCAAAAGGAAAATGCGTCTCCTGTCCCCTAACCAGATATCAAATTACACCGAAGAAATTGTTAGTACTACGATGAGTCACATTCTCCAAAAAAGGCCAACAATCCCATCCGTGCTCAAGAGTATGCTACCTTTACACAATTCTCATCTAAAATCTCTTGGTTGTCCTAAATTTCCATTATATAATGTCCATCTTAATAGATGGAGTCTTGTCGTTTTTGTGTGTCATAACAGTGTATCTATGTCTGAGCCACTATTCTTCAGAGAGTGTGTTACAAATATAGACATGAAGGGCCCATTTCTTTTCAAACACAGTTTTAAGGTGGCAAATAATGGCCAAATGCTATAAATTATGCATGCATCTTAAAATGGCCCCAACTGAACCCTGTTTTGCTCTTCACTCGCTAAAAGAGGTAATTAGCAGCAGTTTCTGTCACAAATTTAAACCCATTCGACACATTCTTCGATAGACCAATTAATATCTTACAAAACAAATACACAACAAAAACACAGCAAAAGTTGTATGAATAAAAAATAACTACCCATGCAGATTCAGTCTGCATGTGATTTTAAAATTGAGTTTACAAAACCTAAATTATTTTAATAAGAAAAAAAAAAAGAAAAAGAGCAAATTCAACATGGACTGCCATGAATACCATCACCCTCTCTACCCTAGTGCTGCTACATTTATCTGAGTATTTTCGCCAAATAAACCTTGTAAACTGGCAAATTGGTTTTTAACAACAATTAATCTATCCTAGCACTATGATGAAACAATAAACTTTCAAATAAAATCTAAAATGCTAGAATGATTTGTTGCATGCACCATCTACCTCAGATAGTGAAATATGTGAGATTTACCCTAATAGCTAAGAATGTATTTTCAGAACAGCAACTTGTGCCATTATAAATATATATATTTTTTTCCGATACAGCTGTCAGTGTGTTTATACAGCAGTAGGTTGCAGACTTAGCAAACTGGTCAAGCAGGCTAACTACAAATAAATTAGCAGTTAGGCTGTGTCCAGTTTATAGGAACATTTTGTTCTGCTACTGGCCATTCTGATGTGAACTACTACACTAGCCATGTTTCCACTCACAAAACACAGAACCACATTTCTTGGATAAAATGCTAAAATAACTTGTGTGTGTGTGAGAGAGACATTGAGATGCAATTACAAGAAATAAACTTTGCAAACATGGAAAATAGTCTGTATTATGAAATATAAAGTCGCAACTGGGAGATTACCCAGTTAGGCTACAATAAGTAATATCATAATTTTGAGACATAGTTGAAATTATGAGAACTAAAGACACAATTACAGAAAATAAAGTTGAAATTGTAAGATAAAAGTTGCAATTACGCTTAATTATAAATTATGTTAGATATAAATGTGCAATTAACAGAATAAAAAGATTTATATCTAGGCGTAAATTTAAAAGTGAGAAATAAAGATGCAATTACGAGGAATTAAGCCACAATTACCTTAACTTGTTTTATTACTATGAGGTCTGACAAATGAAAAGACAATGTAATCCTAAACCAGGAAATATTTGGTTCTACACTTTGTGGTTCTGAGGTTAAGCAGTGGAAATATAGCCAAAGTACCTGGGTGAGACATTTGAGGGATCTAATTTGTCACTATATTATCCTTTAAGGTTCTAGAACTGATAACTGAATCTTACCCCAAATGTCCAATGATCAAATTATAATGATCTGTAACCATGTTTAAGGCTTGAATTGAGTTGAAAGAGAATCACTCTCTCATGAACTTTGTTGTAGTTGCATTGTATTGCTCATAAATATTTCATGAAAATGCTTAGTGATCTTGTTAAGGCAAATCTTGCAGGGACAAATGCCCACAATCCAGAATCTTTCCAAAAAGCTGTTCTAGCCGTAAGCTCACTGTGAATAAACAGAGTGCTGGTGCTACAAGAACATGTTGATGATCAACACAATATCCACTTTAACAAATTCAACATCCAGCATGTCTCAGTGGCACAGTATGGCTGCATTAGCATGTTGCTAATCCCCTCTCTATTGAAATATTCAACCCTTGCCTATCGTGATTGGTCAGGACGCATGGACCAATAGTGATTCAGGTTACCCATGTTTAACAATAAACTGATCATTAGTGAGAAAGACTGCATAGGGCCAACAAGTCTACTAAAAATTTATGAAGCTATGTAGTAAATGGGCGCTAACTCATGTGCATTGTACTAACTACTTCTAAGAATTTCTAATTATTCTCATGAATAAAATACCTAATCACAGGTTATGATTATGATATACTGTATGCATTTTTTTGCTCTATTATTAGACGCTCAGAGGGAAAAATTAGAGCGCCTATTAACACCGATTGATAACTTAGAGCAGTAATATCTAATACAAAAATATATCAACATCATTTTAATTGTACAGTTCTACCAGTTAATAGTGGTTGGCGCTCAAATGAATCAATGTACTGTATATCCCACCTTTTCCAATGTGTCAAAGGCAGCGCAAAAATCTTCCTTCTAACTGATCTGGTTCCCTTGAATACAAGAAGAGAAATGTTGGCTAATGGTGGAGCTGGCATTTTCAACGTATCGCTAAACTTGTCTATAACACTGCACTAGTAACGGTGGATTTATATTGTAGCTTAAATGGTCTGGTCTACATTGTAAATTCATATCTAAACAGTATAGATTAAATTAGTATACTAACGATACCAAATCAGTAACTAAATACTCTGCCTTTGAACCTTCATTTGGCAAAGCATTGCAGCATCTTGAATGCCAACTGAGAGTTGTAATTGGCCAAGGCACCCCCATAACACTCATAGTAACTAGAGTTACTCATGAAAAGCACTCTGACCTTCATCCTCTTTTAGTGCAGATTTGCGCTTAACTTAATTGCTACACTGTGCATGCATCTGTGCATGTCTCGCTTTGCACTTGAGAGTACTGGCTCCCTTGCACAGGTGTTATGGTCGTGCTCACAAAATAACAAATAAGTGGAAATCCCTCAAACATGCTTCTACGTAACATAGGACTTTGGAAGTACATTGAGGTACAGCCTCCTATTCCTTCAGTTTCCCCTTATTCCATAGTTTCTTTATTTCCATAGGTGATTTGGTGGTTGGTTCACACCTATAAGACTGTTGAGAGGTCTGGTGTGGGGATCGAGAGCCAAGGGACTTTGTTAAGCCCTGAGGTCTGAGGCCTGCTCAGAATATCCTCATCAAGAAACTCAAGCAAGTCTAGGGCTCTCGTGTTCCCAAGGCACCACCGGACCCTCCTCGCTTTCAAATGTCCCCTTGCCCAGTTGTTCAGCAGTTCAGTTCTCATCCACATCTTCAAGAACTGATCCAACATTGCTTTGAGAAGCATTTGTTGGGATGCTTCAACTCACCGATCTCCTCTGAGCATTGAGACATCTAGAGACTACCAGAAATAAGATTTGAATGAATATGGATGGTAGATGAATTGACATATGAATTTGAGTTTGTGGTCACCTGGAGATAGAGAAAGATCAATGAAGCTGAGGTGAATCATAATGAGGCAAAGCCCAAAAGAACTGGTGGTGGGTGAATCAGAGGTAAATGGTATAAAAGATAAATGGATTATAGGCCTTTTTGGTTGTCACTTCAGTTCATGGCTTTTATCGTACATGTCATTTTGCCCCGAAAAGACTCAGAAGCATTTTTTTTTTTCCTGATTATGCTGATGTCATTCATCTTTGAGATTCAATCCCAAGATGCAAAACGTCAGAGCTGTGGGTGGGTCTGCAGTGCTTAAAGTGAAAGGTCAAAGATCAAGGGTCATCTGGCCCTCTTTCACTGATTGATGAACTGAGGACACATCCTTCAGGTTTCAGACAGGCACATTTAGAGAAACTAAAAACATCAGAGTATATCATTCTTGGGATGGATCACTACAATGACTGAATATATACAATATCAGGTAACACTATGGTCAGAGTGGTTGACTTAAACATGAAACAGATAAAAACATGGTCACATCCCCTGTTGAATACACAATAATCTTTTCTTTTCTTTCCTTATTTTTTTACATTTTTCACATAGTTGATGGACTAACTTCAAATCCAAGTGCTAAAGAAACGTCACAGCTCACTAAGGGTTTCCCTCCATTCCAAACAACACAAAGCTCTACAAGATGTTCATGAATACTGTATCAATAGAACAGATGAAATGCACTAGGAACAAGAGTAAAGAAAGAACACCAATACTACCTGACCATGGCAATAAGGCTACTGAATGAATGAATGTACTCTCTCTCTTTTTTAATTTTCTTAAATTCTTGATGAATGAAGCATACTAGTGGCTTATTATCTATTAATGAACTACCTCTAGAACATGTTTAGGTGTTGCCCTCCAAAATTATGATTATAGCCCAAAAATGAAAGAAAAGATAATCAGCAAAAAAGAGAAGAGAGAAAATGAAATGTACTGACACTGGGCAGGATGCACTGGTTAAAACTCAAGATGGCCGTCCAGTGTAAACCATTGACCAGAGCTGAGGTCCGATAAAGAGAATGCTTGTCACTTGCAAAATCAAGGAATGACACATAATTGCAAAAGAGGTTGCTGTACAGTGTAGAAACGGACAATTCCGTGAGGATGGGGAAAGCAGTGGATCGGGTCTGGGGTCCTGCTCGGTTGACTCTCCCCGAAATGCTCAAGCCACTTCTGATTTCATGAGCTGCGGTTACGAGAGGCTGATTACAGTATCAATAAAAAGCCGATGAGTCGTTCAGATGTGTCCTTTTTCTCTTGCGATCTTTTCTTTTAGCGAAAATATCATGCAGTCTTTAGTTCCGTACCCTCGAACAAGGGACTGATGCTTGTTATTTGTTTGTTTCAGAAGGAAAAGAAATTCAAATACTTGAAATGTTTCTCTTGTAATATTCTTAAACATTCAAGTCATTCTATATAATAGGGTTTTTTTTACACCAGAAAAGTCCTTTCGATTTTACACACGCATGTGTATATAGAAATATAATATATAGAAATATGCATATACATATGTATCAACTTTATATGTGTACACATATTTTCCAATTGTATCAAAGCCAATTCAATGTGCTCTCAAAATATGGCCCATGTTTCCTAGGGGAACGCATATCAATTCACATAATACAACCAATAGATAAGGTTGAAGAATCCAAAAGTGATAGGAAAAATGACCCGGGACCACTTGTCAATGGTGCTAACATCCGTCAAGTTGGGGATTTTGAGCTTAAGCTTGGACGAGCGCCTCCTTAGCCGGCAGTTGGCACGACTGCGCATGGCGCTGCGGTCCAACGAGTGGTGGCTGAACCCGTCCCGCGAAGCCATGGGCTTGCGGAACTGCACTCCGGAGCTGTCAAAGGACATGACGGAGTTCCGTGAGTCACTGACGCTGCTGCCTACGTCGGATGGCATCACTTCATTGTTCATCTCCAAAGTGGTGAGAAGAATGTTTCCGTAAGCATCCACCTTGAGGCAATAAAAGACAGAGAGGGGTGGTCATGAGCAGCCACAGGAAGCGGATAGCCCTAAACTGTCTCAAATAGCATTTACTTCCATTCAACCTTTCATGCAGATGCAATGATGATGTGATGTGACAGTTATAACACACTTCACTTGGGAAGATTACAAGACGTCATTCAAAATGTGATGGTTGACACACACGCACACGCACGCACACACACAGTAGTTAATGACAATATTTAATCAACTTCTCATTCTAAATTTCCACTGTTTCAGCTGATATTATTTCTAAATGCATGTACCCCGACTTTTCTTTGTTCCTCGAGATACAGATTTCTTCGTTGTGTATATGACCTGAGGGTGTTGCTTTGAAACGGCGCTGAAATGGAGTCCTTGCAATGTGAAAGAAAAAAAAAATGAAGAGAACGTTAAAACGCCCATATAAACTCTGGCAATCAAAGCAACAATTTTTCGAAGAATACAAAAGTGCATAAATATAAGGGTGAACAAGAAAGAGCCTGCATAAAAGACACAGACACAAATGCCTTAATTCAGTAAAACTATTTTAGTAACTGAGCTTAGAACACAGTTGTTAAGTATGAAAATGGCTTACACATTTTGAGGAGGAAAAACTAATCAGTCTATCTCTTGATACATCACGGTACTTCGATTGAAAGAGAAGTCTGTGGCAATAAAGCAGACTAGAATCTGATAACATAATGACAATGTAATTTGTAACTTTCCAAGCAAGAGGAACCTCTCTTAATAATGAAATGCAACTTCAATCAAATGAAATACGTCACGTTTTGTGATTAAGTAAAGTGATGGTTAATGGGCTATTGAATGTTCGTTTTTAGCGGTGATGTGAAGCGATTCATTCAGGCAATAGTTATACTGATGAGTAAAGTTGTTCTGCTTACAAACTAAGTGAATCCGTATTTATTCAGACATGCATGAACATTGTCAACGCTTATTAAATTCAATTAAATTAGGTTTTAATTAGAACAAAAATGAACTGTGCAACCGTTAGAAATGGTTTACAAGAGATCCTGCATACCTGTTCCCTTAGACGCTTCTCCTCATAGCGGGGACGCTCGTTGTTGGCTTTGTTCAGCTTTTCGTTGATCTTTTTCTGCTGCTGGGGTCCCCGTCCAAAGAACACATAGTTTACAAAGGCATATTCGAGCAGGGCCAGGAAAACAAAGACGAAGCAGCCCATGAGGTAGACATCGATGGCTTTCACATAGGGGATCTTTGGGAGGGTCTCCCTCAGGTGGGTGTTGATGGTTGTCATAGTGAGCACCGTAGTTACACCTGCAAGAAAGCATGTTAGTAATTTGAATAAACAGTGTCATGTTCACATGACTTGCGTCAGGGCTTCAATGGACCATGGACATCATGCCCCTACTTTTTTTGGTCACACTTTAGATTAGGGTCCAATTCTCCCTATTAACTAACTAAACTACGACTATTCCTAATTACTGCTTACTAATAGTTAAAAAGGTAATTATTAAGTTATGGTATTGGGTAGGATTAAGGAATGTAGAATATGGTCATGCAGACTAAGGCATTAATATATGCTTTATAAGTGCTAATAAATAGCCATCCTAGTAATATGCATGCTAATAAGCAACTAGTTAATAGTTAGAATTGGACCCTAAACTAAAGTGTTACACTTTTTTTTTCTTTTTTGTAAAAAAGACATGCCAGAATTATTATCATTTTTATTTACATAATTATGAGACGTGGCAGTATACTGTTATGGTTTATTTTAGAACGCAAAGTGAAACTTGTTTTTGTTTGTTTGTGTTTTAATAAGACAACTAAAGACTTAACCTTTTTAGCCTTAGAAAAAAGAAATGGACAAAGTTTTACAAAGATTTATGTCCTAAAAAGAATAGTCCAGTACTCTGTACTAAAAAATATATATATACTGTATATATATATATATATATATATATATATATATATATATATATATATATATATATATCAAAAGGGTTCTTTGCCAGCTAAGCAATTGTCAGTGAGATGAATAGGAATGCAAAAAGTGACAGTTCTCTCATTTTAGAAATACTTGATCTGCATACATATAAGATCAGTCTATCCATCGTGTTTTAATTTCTTTACCTGCATCACCCATACAATGAAACTAATGGATTTTTTTGTGTGAAATGGAGTCAAAGTTGAACTTTGAGCATCACGCAAGCTTAAAGCTTTGTTCAAGTTTATTGCATTGGGGAACCCATATGAAAGGGTATTTCCTTTAATCATGGTCGAACGTAAGTTGTATACACTCACCTAAAGGATTATTAGGAACACCATACTAATACTGTGTTTGACCCCCTTTCGCCTTCAGAACTGCCTTAATTCTACGTGGCATTGATTCAACAAGGTGCTGAAAGCATTCTTTAGAAATGTTGGCCCATATTGATAGGAAAGCATCTTGCAGTTGATGGAGATTTGTGGGATGCACATCCAGGGCACGAAGCTCCTGTTCCACCACATCCCAAAGATGCTCTATTGGGTTGAGATCCGGTGACTGCGGGGGCCATTTTAGTACAGTGAACTCATTGTCATGTTCAAGAAACCAATTTGAAATAATTCGAGCTTTGTGACATGGTGCATTATCCTGCTGGAAGTAGCCATCAGAGGATGGGTACATGGTGGCCATAAAGGAATGGACATGGTCAGAAACAATGCTCAGGTAGGCCGTGGCATTTAAACGATGCCCAAATGGCACTAAGGGGCCTAAAGTGTGCCAAGAAAACATCCCCCACACCATTACACCACTACCACCAGCCTGCACAGTGGTAACAAGGCATGATGGATCCATGTTCTCATTCTGTTTACGCCAAATTCTGACTCTACCATCTGAATGTCTCAACAGAAATCGAGACTCATCAGACCAGGCAACATTTCTCCAGTCTTCAACTGTCCAATTTTGGTGAGCTCTTGCAAAATGTAGCCTCTTTTTCCAATTTGTAGTGGAGATGAGTCGTACCCGGTGGGTTCTTCTGCTGTTGTAGCCCATCCGCCTCAAGGTTGTGCGTGTTGTGGCTTCACAAATGCTTTGCTGCATACCTCGGTTGTAACGAGTGGTTATTTCAATCAAAGTTGCTCTTCTCTCAGCTTGAATCAGTCGGCCCATTCTCCTCTGACCTCTAGCATCAACAAGGCATTTTCGCCCACAGGACTGCCGCATACTGGATGTTTTTCCCGTTTCACACCATTCTTTGTAAACCCTAGAAATGGTTGTGCATGAAAATCCCAGTAACTGAGCAGATTGTGAAATACTCAGACCGGCCCGTCTGGCACCAACAACCATGCCACGCTCAAAATTGCTTAAATCACCTTTCTTTCCCATTCTGACATTCAGTTTGGAGTTCAGGAGATTGTCTTGACCAGGACCACACCCCTAAATGTATTGAAGCAACTGCCATGTGATTTGGTTGATTAGATAATTGCATTAATGATAAATTGAACAGGTGTTCCTAATAATCCTTTAGGTGAGTGTATTTGGAGTAAACAAAATTTAAAATGATTGATATGGTTTTATAAAGAAAAGAGAAATTCTATGGGATTCCCATCCTGAATAAACACGATGCTTTTTAAACAAAATCTGAAGGTTACCCAGGGCCACACGAGCAGCAGAGGCATCATAGTTAATCCAGAAGGAGACCCAGGACAAGATTGTAATCAGGATGGAGGGCATGTAAGTCTGCAGGATAAAATAGCCAATGTTTCTTTTGATGCGGAAACTCAACGACAGCCGAGGGTATGAACCTGGGGAGACACAAGTACATAGCAGAAGCCGAAAAAAGAGATGTCAACATGTAAGCGGGAACACAAAAGAGCAAGCACAGGAAAAATAGATCTACAATTTGCAATTGTCAAAGTCTGCACTTTGACAACAGATAATCATTTTCCCATTTGTTCAGATGGAGCATTTAATTTCCCCAAAGCAATGGATTCCTTCCCAGGGACTAGTTCCATTCCAATTAAACATGGCAGAAAGTCGCAAACATGGCAGATTTTTCTGAAACCCCTTTTCTCAGCAGGCAACGTCTACGTCCCTTTGAGAATTGTCACAAAACCTGCAGTGTCTTTTTTTTTTCCATTTAGCCCTGTAATACAGGGAACTTGATAAAAAAAAGGGGGAAAACAATACGTAACTGAAGAGCTTGTCCTGTAAATGTGTAAAATTTGGTGAGCGGTTTAGGAAAACTGTTAGCAGCATGTTTCAAGACGCCTTTCCAAGATTAGCCTGTATGTGCTCGTTTAAAAACTATGCAGCTAAATGTAAGGTGTGGTATGATTTATTGACTTATTCGATGTCCTGATTATTCAAATTGTTGCAATGGCTTGTTACAGATGTGAAAGAAATATACGTGTTATTTCCCTGCGGTTCCAATCTCCCATGCAATTGGGCTTAAATTAAACATTTTCAGATAAAGATGCAATGGAACAAATTCCGTTGGAAGCCTTTCAGGTGCAATTGTATCAAAGAGAAAGGGAAATAACGTCAGGCTGTAACTTAAATAGCATTTGCATATGAGTGGGACCCGACGCCAGTCACAGCTTGCAAAAAACTGATGAATCAACGATAGCACTTTTTTTTTCACACTTGTTCGGACACCTCACCATGGATCTCTCCGTGAAATAAACAAGAGCACACAAGGGCAAATGCACTTAAAATGATTAAAATGAAACGCACTTTTTAAATTAATTTAAGCTGTGCAAGTATAACTCATTCACTGCGTTTTTGCCCAATGTGGGGTGCAACATTAAAGTAGCAAAACTCAACTACATTTTAGCCGCAGTTCATTTATTTTCAAAACTACTGTATTTTACAACAATTCGTTTTGTAAAGGTGCGGTCACAAAACTTCACGGGCAAAAAAGATCCAATATTTATTGTTAATAGCAGAGAGATGTATAAATAACAGCTCACACAGATATTTTGTGACCAACTTGAATTTGAACAAAATCCTTCTCCCTTACACGAAAATTCCCATCGCACAGATTCCTTTTGAAATGACTGATTTTGTTCGAAAAATTTTGTTCGTGAACAAAAACAACTTAATATTGACGAGAACGAAAAGAGAATGAGGGAGAACACAGGGTTTAAATACATAGAGCTAACAAAGGGAACTAATGAGATAATTGATAAAGTGACAGGTGAAAATAATGACTAATTAACCAGACAGGTAAACTAGCTCACAGAGAACACAGGACACCCATACATGTTACAAATAGTTTGATCTGATTTTATTAGTTTTATTTATTGTAAATGTAATGATCTCGCTTGAGATCCACATTGTTGAATTTTTTAAAATACATCGTATCATCTAATATGGTCTTTTCATACAGAGATTCTGAAAAAGTTCAAGTAATTGTTCTGGAATTGCATGATTTTGTTCAAACAGCCAGATCTTCCCTTGTTCTCTGCTTTCATTCACACACATTCCAAACAGTCCCATAAAGACAAATAGCATTTAATGTAATTGCCGAGAAGCCCTGCTTATTCATTTTTTTCTGTCCTTTTGTAAATGATTCAGCTAATTTTTCTGTCTGCATGGAAGATGATTGCTCTGGGGTCGCTGTATCACTCCTGTTCGCAGAAATTGTTCTTTTTTGCATCTTTGTCTGTATACAGTCTTTATCCTCCTCCTTCCCCCTTCCCCCTTCCCCCAGGCAAACAGATACATGATAAATAATGTGACATCACAATTTTTGTTCACAGATAACGCTTTCTGAGATCAATCCCGGGATTGTTACTGGGTCCTGATCCCAGGATCAAAGGCTGTGTCCGAAATAGCCCCATATACTATTTGAGGGGACAGCCATTTGTAGAGGTGTACGAAACCATAGTGGACATTATCAAGTTCACTTATTCAATCCTACAATGCACAGAAATAACGAGTGTACAACCGATCTATGCTAACCGGCTAGAGAATACCCATAATGCACTGTGAGGTTCGTGCCGAATGAATTCCCGGGTCTGACCAGAAGATGGAGCCCGCAGTGAATCATTCATCCATTCATTTTCTAAACCGCTGGTCCAATGTGGCTAAAGCATAATATCATACAGGTATAAATGTATTTTAAATTGATTAAATTGTTTAATTAAGGTTTACATGCTAGTTTCCATTACTACTGGAGCTGCCAGTTTTTCTAAGTTTCAAATGATTATTAAACATCATTAAGCTGTAGTCCTTCTGGCGCACCCAGTGTCCGAATTAACTCACTCGTTTTCATTCACTCCTTCAAGTGGACTATATTAGTGGACCAATATAGGGAATAGTGAATGAGGGTACTGTATAGGGGGCCATTTTGAACACAGCCAAATTTTTCCAGCATTCAAGCTCCAAGCTGTGTTCACATAGGAGGCTCTCAGGAGACAAAAGAAATCTCAGTGTGAACATCAGCTGAGCTAGAGAAACCCCAACTGCTAACACAGATCATTAACCTTATTGAATTCATATCATTTTCATAATTTGAAATATAGCATGACGATAACCATGCCTTTTGCCGAGACAGACATGTTCCTGGATCAACATATTTTGTTGATCCTGGAACAACATTCCTGTTAGAAAATGTTGTCTTAGCCCTATCCCTATTCCTAAACCTAACCCTACCCATAAGTTATCTCTAAAATCAAAAGGAAAGGATAGGTGAATATCACTGATTGATTGATTGATTGGAATGTTGTTCCAGGATCAACAAAGATGTTGTACATGGTGAAATCACGTTTGCAATAGCATGACACTAGCAATGGGTTAATTCACAGGTAAAAGACAGACTGATAAAAAGTGACATAAGTGAATCGTCCATACCTGTGGTAAACCTCACTTCCCTGGACACAAGACGTAGCTCCACAATGGAGAACTGAGGCAATTCCAGTTTGTCCACACCTGTTACAGCATTGTCCCCTCCTTGCCAGAAGAACACGATGTCATCTGTGGTGTACCCATCTGTAGAGATAGTAGACAGTGTAATGGATGTTTACATAGTATATCATTTATAGATACAACCATTGCACTGGAAAACAGCAATATTACATCTAGCAAACATGTCGATTTGTGAAGTGATACTGCACAACCTACCAGAAGGTGCTGAACAAATTAGTTAATTTGCTTGATCAGTGGAGACAAACACAATGTTATTTGTGTTTTAGTGATGTGTAAATAGGTCTGCGTTATGTGTCGTTATCAGCACTTTTAATTGCAAAAGTAAATGGTTCTGCTGTTTGTTATTGTAACGGTCACCAGCTGGAGGGCCCTTGAGAGCCACCAGAGGGCACTCCACATCAGACTATTGTCATTCCCTCACAAACTACATCTCCCACAACTCACTGCCCGGACTCTTCATCCATTATCAGATTCACCTGTGTCTCTTTATCTTGTTTAGCTCACCCCATGTAAGCCTGGTTTTCTCATTCATTATTTGCAAAGTCTTGTTTAGTGTTACACTGCAATTCCAAGCATTCTCCCTGGTTTCATGTCTCTTGGTTTTGGATTTCTTGCCTGTTCCGTGGATTACTCTTTTGCCCGTGTTCCCTGACTTGTTGGGTTTGTTTGTATGGACTGCCTGCCTGTGTTTGACCTTGCCTGTAGTTTGGATTACGTCTTTGGATTACCCTGTTCAATAATACTGCATTTGGATCCTCAACCTTTTTGTCTCGGAGCTGTTCGTGACATTTATCTAGTGGGTCGCTGCGCTCAGTTTCATCACACATTTGTGTTTGATGAGTGTTTAGTGTGCTAAATCGCAACTTTGGATAGAAAACATAGTTAATGAGGAGAGATTACTGCAAGAAATAGTTTGTCATAAAATAGTGAACTTCAACATTTCTAAGATAAAAATGCTAATTCCAACCTCTAATATGTACCATAATGCGGCAGCTCAGTATCATATAGAAAAAGAAAAAAAAAAAAGATTAAGTGTATATTTTTTTTGTACAAACATTCTTAAATTTAAGACAAATTGTACAGAAATTTTACACCTGGCATTTCTTCAGCTAAGTACAACATTTAGGCATTGGATGGGGGCAAACAGGTTTTCTGAACAGTATTTTTGTATTAAACGAGACAATTTACTTAAAGGCACACTGTGGAATTTTTGGCCACTAGGGTGCGCTCGACCTGTAATTTTCACGTCTAGTGCCCCTAGAGGCCACAAGCGCCGCAGCATTGTCGCAAAAGTCAACAAACAGTCAACCTCCCCTGTCTTTATATGTGTGCAGACGGCATTTGATTTGTATGTTGGAGAAAGTTAATCGATTCACTACTGACCAAAATAATAATATAAATATAAGATGAATAATATAAATCCTATAAAGAAAACAAATTGAATAAAAGTAGCATACGCAGAAAACAATGTCTGATCAGGTAAGTCGCATTGACAAGGGTTGCCCAATCCTGCTCCTGCCGATCGTCTGTCCTGCACAGTTCATCTCCAACCCTAATCAAACACACCTGAAGCAAACAATTAACGTCTTCAGGATCTCTTTGCAATGGGTTGGAGATGAAATCGAGTAGTCGGGAAATCGTGTAACAAAACTGATATAACTCACTACATATTTCCGTTATTTGTAGTCTTCAGTTTGTTTTTCCTTTTACACAAATACAAACATATATGAGCTGAAAGGAAAAAAACATTTACATTTGTATACGGCAGTATGTTGTGACTTATATCAGTTTTGTTACACTAATTCGCAGTAAATATTACATTATATATACACTTTTATGCCGATGTTTATTTTAAACTCTCCCTTTTTCTTTTTTTGGTCTCCTCTGACAAAATCTTTGCTTTCTTCGCTTTCTTCCGAGTAGCTGTTGGTTCAGCCATGACGACAACATCCAGACGCCGGCAATCAAACGCGAGTTGAGCTCTCACGTTAGAATTTGAGGAAGTTGGGGTGGTGGGGGAAGTGACGTATGCCGTAAAGCGGTCGAATTTTGTAGTTCTTTTTGTGCTCGGGTTCCTACCCGAAACCCGAAGTTACATAGTGCTAGTAAAAGCGATACAGACACCTTCAGGCTTCGGCAGACGTGTCATTCAACCTATTGTAAGTCGATGTACCATCTCAATGGGTTTTGGTAATATATTATAAAGGTTGAAAAGTTCCACAGTGTGCCTTTAAGAAAAGTTTTATGTTTAAACAATTAAAGCAACAATTTACATAAGAATGGTTTTACAAACAATTCATGCATTGACAAACACTTTCTATATTGATTGTGTCCATTTATATAGGAAAGGTATTATTAATGTTTACAAAGATGTTTCATGAATGAGGCCCAGAGTGTGGTTAGTGACACCAAAGGAATTCAGTTATTGGAAGAGCAAACTTTAATGTTCCCAAAGTCAAGAAGTGTGTATACAAGCAAATCTAAAAAAATGCTCATGCCTCAGCAGGTAGCAACTGACTGATCTGCTCAAGTGATAAACAGTAAGCATGAAACAATGTCCATGGCGTAATCACTGTAGCTCCACTGATACCCGTGATGGACAGGGCACAACATCCTGGTACGACTGACTGATCGATAGTGCAGGGCACCTCATTGATAAATCAGCAAACACTTTCAATCTTACCTACTTCTGTCAATTGTGCCATGAGCCCTCAGTGTCAAACCCCTCCAAGAGCATTTATCACTACTGACACCTAAAGACAGAGTGGGCAGGACAGCAGATTTGGATGATTGCTCTAAATGGCCTTAATGATTATGTTTGCTTACATTAGGTATCTGTGGAGTGGGACAGAGATAAGAAGCAAAAGTGAAATTGATGAGCTGGACGAGTTCACGATTTTTCTCCAAGGTGATGTGGTCAGAATGTGAGTAAGAGTTTGCATTTGTGCAGTGTAGAAGAACTTGTTACTTTTGAAGATTGGATTATTATACTAGTATTATTCATTGCTGCAAATTTATTCTTTAAACCTGTTAATCAATAGCTACAATTGGTACAAATAGGTACAAATAGCTACAAATATGAGATAATGTGCTTGCAAATGTTTGCTAATGAACTTATTGACTTACTTTATATCTACAAATGATTTTAACAAATGTCATACACTAATTAACAGCTTGTTTATTAATGTGGATTTGAATGATTACAAAGTAAGCAATAATTAACGGCGGGCTGTTGAATTATTAGACAAATAATGCACACCTGATGTGGTAATGCGGTGTGGTAATAAAATTATTTGAAGCATAATTTTTGTAATAATGCAATGAAGCATTATTTTTGTAATAATTAATATATATATATATATATATAGAGAGAGAGAGAGAGAGAGAGAGAGAGAGAGAGAGAGAGAGAGAGAGAGAGAGAGAGAGAGAGAGAGAGAGAGAGAGAGAGAGAGATTATTAAGAGTTATTAAGCGTGAATGAATTATCTGAGTCTGTGTGTCTCTCAACAGTGTTCGGCTCCAGCGTTTCTTTTAATAATAGTCTAAACTATAAACTGTAGTGAAACTGTACGTGTATCTGCTCCAAGAACAGTGCCATTATTACATTGCTAGTGAGAAATGTCATTTAGCTTTTAAGTTGTTAAACTATTTTACTGCTAAAATTGTCAGAGCAGCGCTGAGTGTGTGTCCGTACTGTATGTATGTGAGTGAGAGAGAGAGCAGGAGTAAGAGAGTAGTTGCCTTTCTATAAGAAATAATAAATACATAATAAAACTAAATTTTGTGGCAAAAAAAAATGGAAATAATTTTTTATCCTATTGTTTACTACATGTACTTGCTTGGTCAGTGTCATTGTGGGTTTTGGTTCTGTTGCTGTTGTAAGCTGTAAAGACCTTTGAAATAACAGAAATTATTTGGCAAAGTGATATGGAACTCTAATGCGGTCAAGACCTGCATGGAACAACTTTACCTGTGCAATTCCCTGAAAATAATTCGACACCTTAGAACAATTCAAGCATTCAACTGCCCTGTATTATATATGTCATACATGGATGATCATATTTGAATTGAGGTTAAGTAGGTAAGTATTATTACTGTTGTTACGTTTGTTCATGAGTTGACACAACACATTATAAGGTTGTTTATAAGGCATTATGCATGCATTATAATGCACTAAGGAATAAGAATAGCCTTACGATGCATTATAAATGCAGGCTTCATCTGGGGTTATAATTCATTGTCCTCTTAAAAGTTATAACTACAAACAGGTAGTATTATAATTAGGGCTGTCAAACGATTAATCACGATTAATCGCATCCAAAATAAAAGTTTGTGTTTACATAATATATGTGTGTGTACTGTGTATAATTATTTTGTATATAAATGCACACATGTATATATTTAAGAAAAATATGTTATTTATATATAAAATGTTTATATTTATATAAAATATACATTATATATAGGCTATATTCAGTCTATATACAGTATATACATGCAAATATTTCTTAAATACACATGCATGTGTGGGTATTTATGTATTAAAAATAATTATACACAGTACACACACACATATATTATGTAAACACAAACTTTTATTTTGGATGCGATTAATCGTTTGACAGCCCTAATTATAATGTATTGTAACTATTGTTATGATTATTTATCAGATGGTACAACATATTATGAGGTTGTTTGTAAACATTTGAAAGCATTTTAACTTAAAAGAACCAATGTTTTTTTTTTTTTTTTATCAAGGTCATCATGTTAACATTTAAAAGCACATTATCTCATACGTGTAGCTATTTGAATATATATATTTACTAATGATATGTTAAACATTATATAATGTTTGTTAATGCTTTATTACTGAAAACTATTACAAAGTGTTGTGACGCATATGACACGCATAATTCTCATTTGAAAGAAGGCACTTGGAAGTTTGTTGTCCTCCCGTCAGAATTACATGTCATAACAAAATAGCAAAGGTATTAAGGTATAAAGCTTCAATGTATTGTAAAGTTATTTGAAATTTATTTCCATTAAATGTTTCATGAAAAAAAAAAAAAAAAAAAAAGGAAATTGACCTTGATGCTGTTTAGAAACGCAATGCAGCTAAAGACACGTCTTACCATGTGGTATTTATGTCTTAGGATATCTCTAAAACTCGGAGTTTTATTTAATAATCTTGCGATTTTATTTAAAGTAACAACAGGTAACTTTTGCTCTCGGGGTGGGGTCCCCCTACAGTTGGGAAACAGTATTGTCCTCTAGACCTCTACTACTGTCGTAAACTCTGTCATCCTACATGCACGTGCAATTGTTGACAACCATGATAGCCCTGAACACTGTAGGAGGAGGTCACATGCAGGTGTTCTGCTTGCGTCGCGTGTGAAATGTCTTCATCCCAGGTACAGTGGCATATATTTCAGCATGTCATATGAATATAATTTCATGGGTTTTATTTTTTTTCTAAAGACAAATGATCGCGATGCTCACGTTTACAAGCCAGCGTCATTATAGTAGCCTAGTCTATTGGTTACCGTTTTACTGAATCTATATGATACTTCAATGCAATGTTTGAGTGGTTGATAATAACCATATATCGTCAATATTATAATATCAAGCTACCATAAATGAATCTGCAAATTTTACAAATCGATTTGCATTATAGCTTGAGGCAAGACAAATAAACAAATATCACAGACATGTTAGGTATCCTAAAATATGATTTTATTAATAATCTTCCTCCTTTCTTTGTACATGTTGAGTAGACTACACTTTTTAGGTCAAACATTTGCTATTTGCATTTCATCGATTGCAAAGTTCAAATCAGAACGAGAATACTAGCGATATCTAACCATCAAAAACTAGAATATCGTTTACTAGCTACCAGATTGATAATTCGCTACTACTCTAGCGAATTAGAGAGGTTAGAGAGAGGCATTCTTTTTTCGATGGGGGGTTCGATGCTCCCTGCACACGCAAGGTCTCTCGCTCGCTTTCTCTCTCTGCCGTCCGCGCGCGTTGGAGCACAGTCTCTGTCTCGCGTGCGCGCTCGCTCTAGATTCCGGGAGATTTGAACTAATTTGCGGTATAACTTGTCGATCACGAGTGGCTCAACAGGTAGATCTATAGATAAACTCATCTTTCAGGCATTTGACCGACCGGGTTGACAATTTAGCGTGAGAAACCGGGGGTGTGGCGTGTGAGCGTGTGAAACCAATCAAATGCGGATGTCTCACGGCCAATGCGTGAGAGTTGGCAGCTCTGCAATGTTGATCCTCGTTCTGCCTTTAAAGCGATCACTTTCTCTTTTTCTCTTTTTGCTTTGCTCCGATAAAACCTTTGCTTTCTTGTTTTTCTGTGCTGCTTCGGCCATGACTATAACATTTGGCTCGCAAGTCCGATTTTAAGGAAGTGGGGGTGGTGGTGGAAGTGACGTATATGCCGTAAAGCAGTCGAATTTTGTAGTTCTCTTTGTTCGCCGGTTACTACCCGAAACCCGAAGTTTAAAAGTACGATTAAAAACGCTATACAGACCCCGTCAGGCTATGGCAGACGTGTCATTCAACCTATTGTAAGTCGATGTACCATCACAAGAGACTTGGAAATATATTATGAAGGTTGAAAAGTTACCTGTTGTTACTTTAAAGGAGACTCTAAAACATTAGTTCAGCATTCATTCAGTCTATTATTTCTATAGTCTGTTGTCTACTACAAAACTGCCCCAATAATGTTCTGTCTCCCCCTGCACAAATTCACACCTCTCCGGCCTGGTTGTAATATTCTGGTACCTGATTTCCTTGTTTGGCATATTATATCCTCTAAAACATGCCTAAACCTTCTCTACAGGTGCAGTATGCTAGTATTGCATTTTGAACAAAGCGTGTGTGTGTGTGTGTGCGTGCATGCGTGCGTGCGTGTGTGCGTGCGTGTGTGTGTGTGTGTGTGTGTGTGTGTGTGTGTGTGTGTGTGTGTGCGTTCACATTTCCTTTCACTTACAGCTCTCAATCTCCAGGGTGCAGTTCTGTTCATCGAGGGGGTACCGTCTCAGGTCCATCATGCAGGCTGCTGTAGTGGTTATTCTGGAAAAAGGACAGCAAGAAAACAGGGAAAGGAGAGTAGAAAAAAGAGTGGAGAGAGAACGAGAGACACCGTTACCTTGGTAACCTTTAGGAAATCATAGCTTAGCCTTGACTGTGCCATGTGATTATCTGAGTCATGAGTAATGTTTGTCATCTATTCTCTTATTCTAAGAGAAAAGAAAAAAGGGGGGAAATGCAATCATTATAGGCAAATGGTGTTTGAATTCTCTTGGTTTTTTTCTTTGTTATTTCCCCCACTTTGATTCAGATATATTGCTCGTTTTTAATATGTTTTGTAATCTCCTGTAAAAATATGATAAAATAAAATTATATAAAAAAAAGAAAGATGCATGCTGCATATCTTATTATGAAATGTTAAAGACCCCCTGTAGTCAATCATTTTATCTCTTAAAACTCACCTTTGATCACAAAAATGACATATTTAAGCATTTTTTCTTTGAAAAACAAAATCTTCATGCCTAAAAATAGCTTGAATGTAACCCTAGCCTCATTTAGTATACACGGTTATATGCATATGCAAATGAGCCCCGCCTCCACTAACTCACACCAGCTCAGAAATCCACTCCTTGATGATGACACATTGACCAGGGGTGCGTTTCCCAAAAGCATCGTTAGCCAACTATGGTCGCAAGTTCCGTCGTTATCATCTTAGTTTAACAAGTCGGTGTGTCCCGAAACCATAGTTAACGAACATTCGCAAACAGCATCGCAAAGTTGTGTGGTTGGAATGACAGCTATCGAGCTGTGGTTAGAAGCATAGTTTCTAGATTGCATGACACGTGGACTCATGCTATTTTAGCTTCAACAAGTCTTTAAGCTCTTTTACCATGGCTTGCATTTCAAGTCAAGTCAAGTCATCTTCATTTATATAGCGCTTTTAACAATGGATTGTTTCAAAGCAGCTTTACAGAGATAAACATAATTTAAGGTAACAGAGATTGTTTTGGCTTTATAGCGGTTCTTGAATAATGTTATTTCCAGCTAAAGTTAAGTTTTGATTTCACAGAACTAGTAACGCTGCATTGAAGGTGCTATACTGTACCAGGTTAGCTACAGAGCAATAAGTCTTTATTCAACAATAATCTCATGTAATCATAACTTGTGTAAAAAGATGTTGCAGTTTTAATGCCTCCAGTGTTTACTTTATCTGGAAACTGCTGTGAATTGTATGTATAGCTACTTTCTTTTTTTTCTTTTTTTGGTAGGGGCATGTATTTCCAATGAGCCTGGGTTGTTGTTTTTTTAACCAACTTTTGAGAATGTAGAAGTTTGAAAAGCTAACAGTTATGACTCACATTTGTTTATGGTAGTGTCTGCATGTCTCAGGTCAATGGAAAGTGCTAATAAGTTCACCTAATAAGTGCATTTGTGATATGCAGACAATACAACCTTGCTAGCTGAAAGGGAAAATGACCTGATACATTTAATTTTGAAAATCAAGAAAGAAAATGAGAAAAATGGGGCTGCACCTTAACAACAACAAAAAGATCATGAAGACAGCAGAGAAGTAAAGTTTAAAATCATTGATGAAGAAATTGAATCAGTTCAGGATTTCATCTTCCTCTGATCAAAAATTGACTGAGATGGAAAATACACCCCCTGAAATTAAGCGTAGGGTCGCATTGGGCCACACTGCAATGGTTGATATCAATAAGATCTGGAGGAGCAAAAACAGCAACATTTCCCATAACATTGTATGGTTGCAAGAGTTGGACATTAAGACAGGTCGATAGAAGGAAAATCGAAGCATTTGAAATGTGGTGCTGGCGGAAAACGTTGCGAATACCAGGGACAGCCAGGAAAACAAATAGTACTGGACACAAAAAATACAAACCATCACAAAAAATTGTTTTTAGACAAACTTTTTATTTATTTGCTAAAAATAGGAAGAGTGCAGAAACATAACACCTCTTACACCTCAACATTACACATCAAAGTAGAACAGATCTGTGGGCAGACATCACTAAATAAAAACTCTTGTTTGCAAACTATAGCACTAACCTATCCCATGACACTCCTCTACGGGCTGTTTACACCTGGCCACTTCATGCGTTTTCTGTGATCGGATAAAAAGACCAGGTGTAAATCCCCTCCGAAACGCATTCGAGACGGATTTGAATCTGATCGCTCAAACCATATCAGGAGGAGATCTGAGACGCGTTACAGACGAAACTAGACAAGTGTAAATGCTCCTCTTTCGCTCCTTATGCTTTTACTCCTCCTAACAATGCTAAAAAATAAACGTGTGAGAGCGTGTTATAGGTTATATGTCATGTTATAGCCAGATATGACAGCGCTACTGCAACACACCAAGTATAATAGCAGAGCGCCATCAATCTCACACGCAAATAAGCACAACAATCACTTCACACTATTAAGCGGCTGTGTTATGAACATGCCAAACTGTATCGCACGCGTGCTACAGTGGTAAATTTATTCATTGCACAGACCAATTTTTTCATAGCACATGCAACATATATGTTGCACTGTACAGCCCATGGACAGATCAGCAGCAGCAATAAGTGCACAACAGCCATGTCACCCTGTAGCCAGAGACTGGTTGCCCACTGCAGCTAAGCAGGGTTGAGCCTGGTCATTACCTGGGGTGTGTTTCCCAACAGCATCGTTAGCCAACTATGTTCACAAGTTCCGGCGTTATCAGCATAGTTCAATTAGTCTGTTTCCTGAAAACTTAGTTCTAATGATTTAAAGCACCGTTTTTGAAGAGTGGACATATGCGAACGTGCTCTAGCGCGTAAGAACAAACTTATGATTGAATCTGGAAATAAACCAAAATAACTGAGAAAAGTGAGAAATAGTCCTCAGATGCCATGTCTGTTATTACTCCAAGTGCGTGAAGTCATAAACCAACGTGGTTGAACGACCACGACAAACAGTCGTGACTAGCAAGTTCATTTGTTCAATGATGCATCGTACTATGGTAGTTAAGCAGCGAGAAACGTAGTTGTACAGGAAACACATCCCATGGATGGGAGACCTCCAGTGAAAACTAGGCTGTTGCTGGAAGAGGTGTAAGTGAGACCAGTAGGGGGTGCTCACCCTGTGGTCTGTATGGGTCCTAACGCCCCAGTATAGTAACGGGGACACTATACTGAAAAAAAGCAACTCTCTTTGGTCATTAAAAATCCCATGGCACTTCTCATAAAGAGTAGGGGTGTAACCCCAGGTTCCTGGCCAAAATTACCTCCATTGGCCCATATCAATCATGGCTTCCTAATAATACCCATTCTTTTGAATTGCTCTATCACTCTCTCTCCTCTCAAACCTATAGCTGGTGTGTGGAGAGCACACTGGCGCCAATGTTATGAGGCTGCAGTTGTATCATCCAGGTGGATGCTGTACACCGGTTCTGGTTGAGGAGAGACCCTCTGATATGATTGTAAAGCGCTTTGTGTTTTCAGTAGTACATAGTAAAGTGCTATATAAAAAAATGCTTTGTTTCACTCACATTCTGTGTCCTACCTACAGTGGGTACGGAATGTATTCAGACCCCCTTAAATTTTTCACTCTTTGTTGCAGCCATTTGCTAAAATCATTTAAGTTAATTTTTGCCCCATTATTGTACACACAGCACCCCATATTGACAGAAAAACACAGAATTGTTGACATTTATTAAAAAAGGAAAACTGATCATGGTCCTAAGTATTCAGACCCTTTGCTGTGACACTCATATATTTAACTCAGGTGCTGTCCATTTCTTCTGATCATCCTTGAGATGGTTCTACACCTTCATTTGAGTCCAGCTGTGTTTGATTATACTGATTGGACTTGATTAGGAAAGCCACACACCTGTCTATATAAGACCTTACAGCTCACAGTGCATGTCAGAGCAAATGAGAATCATGAGGTCAAATGAACTGCCTGAAGAGCTCAGAGACAGAATTGTGGCAAGGCACTGATCTGGGCATGGTTACAAAAAAATTTCTGCTGCACTTTCTAAGAGCACAGTGGCCTCCATAATCCTTAAATGGAAGACGTTTGGGACGACCAGAACCCTTCCGAGAGCTGGCCGTCCGGCCAAACTGAGCTATCGGGGGAGAAGAGCCTTGGTGAGAGAGGTAAAGAAGAACCCAAAGATCACTGTGGCTGAGCTCCAGAGATGCAGTCGGGAGATAGGAGAAAGTTGTAGTAAGTCAACCATCACTGCAGCCATCCACCAGTCGGGGTTTTATGGCAGAGTGGCCCGACGGAAGCCTCTCCTCAGTGCAAGACACATGAAAGCCTGCATGGAGTTTGCTAAAAAAAACACCTGAAGGACTCCAAGATGGTGATAAATAAGATTCTCTTATTTATCATTTATAGATAGAACTTTTTGGCCTTAATTCTAAGCGGTATGTGTGGAGAAAATCAGGCACTGCTCATCACCTGTCCAATACAGTCTCAACAGTGAAGCATGGTGGTGGCAGCATCATGCTGTGGGGGTGTTTTTCAGCTGCAGGGACAGGACGACTGGTTGCAATCGCGGAAAATATTAATGCGGCCAAGTACAGGGATATCCTGGATGAAAACCTTCTCCAGAGTGCTCTGGACCTCAGACTGAGCCGAAGGTTCACCTTCCAACAAGACAATGACCCTAAGCACACCTCTAAAATAACGAAGGAGTGACTTCACAACAACTCTGTGACTGTTCTTGAATGGCCCAGCCAGAGCCCTGACTTAAACCCAATTGAGCATCTCTGGAGAGACCTAAAATGGCTGTCCACCAACGTTTACCATCCAACCTGACAGAACTGGAGAGGATCTGCAAGGAGGAATGGCAGAGGATACCCAAATCCAGATGTGAAAAACTTGTTGCATCTTTCCCAAAAAGACTCATGGGTGTATTAGATCAAAAGGGTGCTTCTACTAAATACTGAGCAAAGGGTCTGAATACTTAGGACCATGTGATATTTCAGTTTTTCTTTTTTAATAAATGTGCAAAAATGTCAACAATTCTGTGTTTTTCTGTCAATATGTGG